TATACAAAGTTTTATTAAAATAAAACCATTTAAACTGGGTGTTCGGATATATATGTCACTTAGTATATTTGGCAATTTTCGAAGAATCGCTTTTACCAGTGATGGAAGAATGTTTGACATCCGGCTAAGATTTTGTGTTTTAGCAAGATGATGTAGCGTGCCATACCTCAAAGAAGACTATACAATGGATGAAAGAAAATAATGTACCACTTTTGAAATGGGTTTCTAGCAGTCCAGACTTGTCACCTATTGAAACTTTGTGGCACGAGAAGGTTCTACGACAACATCCTGCTCGTACAATCACCGAACTGACAAAAGCTTCAGGAGATATGGGATTGTTTTACACCAAATTTTTGCCAAAACTTAGTTAACACTATGCCCCAAAGAATTTCAGCCGTAATAAAAAATAAAGGTGATGTTAGCCAATGGTAATATTTCAATTTTTGCTTGTTAACTTCGCGCATTTATTCGCACATTGTTTATTTGTTCAGGTGTTCTATTAGTTATAGGTCTAAGTGATTTCTAATATGTATTTTTTACTAGAGTGTATCTAAAATATTTTTGAGAAGATAAATTGCTTTAGAAGTAAATAGTTTCGTCATGTTACAAATCTTGAGGTGGTCCAACTGAAGTGGGGAGGGGCTCGTATAATACATACCTATCACACTCTAGCAGGTTTTCAATGCTATTGACTTCTGTGATCTAAATTACATGGGAAAGTACTTAAAACTGGGCTTCCATACGCCATTGATTAAAAAAATGTGAAAATAGCTCCTTTGCAATGTTAAACATCATGCTATTGCCCCCCAAGGCCTCAGACTTGCAGAAAAAAATGAGGAAAGGGAAAGACGTAGAGAGTTTTTTGTTTGAAAAACAAATTAAATAAATGTGCGTTTTGTTCTTATACTCCTGTTTACCATGTCCCTCTTTAATTCCTTTATAATAAGTGTAAACAACCTGACAATCCCCTTGAAAGTAGACAACCCTCACTACTTGCCCCGACGTAATCCTGGATCCCCGCCTGGGTAAAATGCAAGTAATTTAAAAGCGAACGCTTTAAGTATTGGAGGTGGTGGAGGGTGGAACTGAGCTTTTTCATTCCAACTGTAACTGGTATAAATCGTTATTACCTATTTTTCAAACGCAGGGTAACTGTAGATATTTTTACTGCTAACTAAAGCTTAACTCTCTAAGCGCGTTTTTTGTTGTCAAGTTTATTTTACACAAACACAAAGTGTCACAAAACACACAGAACTTGATAGTTCAGACTGAGAAGCAGCATTGCTGTGTTAATTAGTTACAGGTTAGTTAACCAGAACTTGCAAACAGACGTTTTGGTAATTTGATAGTTAGTTCCTGTGATTGAAATGTACTTTTTGTCTTCATATCACAGAAAACGCTTCATACCTTTGCAAAGAGACCTTTAAGAGATGTTCTCCTCATCACTTTCGAGATATCTTTCAGTGAACTTTGTATCATTATTATCCCCTTGAATTACCCTGTATATAATTTGAGCGATATTGGTGAATAAAATGAGATGTATTAAAACATTATAACAAATGTTGCATGTTGCATAATGTTGCATGATATTGCATTTGCCGGTTCATGCTGAAGTATAAATGATAATGCAAGAAAAAGCTGAATTTGCGATGTTGGTAAATGAACATGTTCATTCTTGGTTCTACATCAGAATAAAAAAATACATAAATTCAATGGGAAACTATTGTTAGATACTATAAAAGGTATATAAATGTAGCTGAAGAAAACAATAATGTGACGTTATCATTAGGCTAAGAGATAAACATGCGAAATTCTACTATTTTCTTTTTCCATTCACCGTGTAGTGTTTGCTTACAATCAAAATATTTATTATTGAAAGAAATATAGACAAATAACAACATTCATACAAAACTAATAGTTATAAATATTCATTGTAAACAACAGCACTTAAAAATGTAACTGAAATGTTTTATAAGGATCGTAAAACATGCACTGCACGCTTTATTAAAGATAAATTAATTTAAAATATGCCTATTTTTATCCATCGCAAGTTTTTGGTCACGTTATGTACATTTATTCTGTCCACTATGACTTGTTTAATTGGCATACACCTGAATCTATCATCCAATCGAAAATTTTAAACCTGAGTTACAGAAATGTATGCTGTATTGAGCAAAATTCTGAAAACAACTTGGCAATTGAGAATTTAAGAGACGCTACAAAATATGCCCAGCTTCTCTGTGTATAACTTAATTTTTCACTCCAGATAGCTCAGAAGGTGAGTGAAGCTTCACGGGCATACTGTTTTAATGTAAGAAACTGCAGAAGCTTCAGCCTCCCAGAGTCACGGTTGGTGGAAATTGGGATATGCACCGTTAATTTGGAACCCAATTTACAACTGCTACATTGATTCCTTTGAGCATGTTCATAGAAAGTTTCTCAAATTTTTATCTTTCAAAGCTGAGGGAGGTGTATCTGAAAGTTTGGCTTCAAATGCAATCTTTAGAGAAGGAAGTGCGCGTCAATTATTTTCTTGCATAAACTAATGTACAATCAAATTGATGCTAATGAGATTGGGGCTCAACTAATCTTTAATGTCCCATCTTTTCAAACTCGTACCATTAAAACCTTTTATTGTCACAGGGCTCGCACAAATTTATTTTTGAAAGCACCCATAGTGTGATATACGAGCCCCTTCCCACTTCAGTTGGCCCACTTCAAGATTTGTACCAAAATATGCCTTTATAAACTAAACATGACGAAACTATTTACTTCTAAAACAATTTATTTTCTCAAAAACAGTTTAGATACACTCTAGTCGTGAAAAATGCATATCTGAAATCACAAATAAACAATGTGCGAATAAATGCGCGAAGTTAACAAAGCAACAATTGAAAGATTACCATTGGGTAACATCACCTTTATTTTTTATTATGGCTGAAATTCTTTGGGGCTTAGTGTTAACCAAGTTTTGGCAAAAATTTGGTGTAAAACAATCCCATATTTCTTGAAGCTTTTGTCTCAGTTCGGTGATTCTACGAGCAGGATGTTGTCGTAGAACCCTGTTCATCTCGTGCCACAAAGTTTCAATAGGTGACAGATCTGGACTGCTAGAAACCCATTTCAAAAGTGGTACATTATTTTCCTCCATCCATTTTATAGCCTTTTTTGAGGTATGGCACGCTGCACCATCTTGCTGAAACACAAAATCTTGGCCGGATGTCAAACATTCTTCCATCACTGGTAAACGCGATTCTTCTAAAATTGCAAAAAATTTGTTTGTATCCAGATTTCCATCAATAAAATGAAGTTTTCTTATTCCTTTTGATGACATACTGCCCCAGCCCATAATGGATGCTGGAAATTTCACTTTTCTCTTCAGACAGTCAACATAGAATGCTTCATTTTTTTATCGAATAACTCTACTGCGACTGTCACCAACACAAACTTCGAATCGGGCCTTATCACTCCATTGTATTGCACACCATTGTTGAGGTGTCCATTGTCTATGTTCTTTAGCCCATCTAAGCCGATTTTGTTGTTGTGCAACTATAGGGTTTTTACTTCACTTTTTTTATAAGAAAACTTACCTTGCAAGTGCTAAATCCCAGTTTGTAGGCCTCTCTATGAGTTGTGGACCTCGAAATTCTCCTTCCAACAGCGTCACTCCACAGAGCACTTAATTGTAAATAATTGGCACGCCTGTTTTTCACGATTATTCTTCTTAATGCTCTTCGGTCGGCATTTGTGATATTACTTTTTTTCACATATCGTGGCTTAATATTAACTGAACCAGTTACGTTATATCTTCTAACAATATTTCTCACACTGTACACATAAGTCTAACAAAGTTGCAATTTCTGAGTTTTATGTCCCAGAATTAAAAAATTTAATTATCAGTAACCGAATTTTCTCACTAATAACCTTTCATCTACCCAACCTTAACGTATTCTGACAGCAGTGAGTAATAAAAACAATTGTCATGGCTTTTATTTTTCACAGCCACCTATGCGTTATAGGCTTATTTTGCATTGAAATGAAAATAGGTTGATATGCTGTAATTGCAACATGTGTTATTTTTATGCGGCAAATTTGATTAGGGAGTGATAAAGTTGGTGTTTTCTGCTATATATTCATTGTTAATATTTTAAACCTATAACACCCTGCTACATTTTTACTATTTAACTAAGATTTCAACAGTTGGGCCAACTGAAGTGGGAATTACTTAAACAATTTCTGGCATGTTTCTCACTTAGTGAAATATTTCTTTTTTTGTTAGATTGATTTATCTTTGCTTAAGGTTGTCCTGTAAATGGCTTCAAATGGCTTCCTTGACTGTAGGGCAATAAACGCTATTCATTTATTTGTATCAATGGGGTCATAGCACTACAATAATTTAACAGCATTTTTGGTCATAGGAAGACATATAGGAAAATTCAAAGTAGGGCAAATTGGTGGTTCCAGAATTGATGTTCAGCGGCGAAATTTGTCCCGTCTCAGTGAAGGGGGGCAACGGTTGAAAACTGAGTGCTCTTCAAATTAGTAATAAAAATCAAACTTGAATTTTTATTTCACGGGCTGCAGCCTGAACAGCTTGATGGATTTTGACATACGAAGTGTCGCCAAATTTGCTTGGACAGTGCCAGTGACATTGGGGATACTAAACTTTTTGGAAGATTTTTATCAAAAATGTTAACTTTGAAATTCCTATTCCCCGAGCTCCAGCTTAAGAGGGTTGGTGGACGTATGAGGTGTCTATAGCTTTGTATTGACAGTCTGAGAACACTGTGTATACTGAAATTTTATAAAAAATAATTGGCAGACTTAAGACACAAAATTCAACTTTAAGACTTCTATTTCACGAGCCCAAACACCTTGATGGATTTTAATATTTGATATGTTCTTAGATCCTTCTTGATAGTATAACTGATTCTTCATTCTTTTCAGTTACTGCAGAATGTTTGTATTTTTTTTAAATGTACATGTCTCTTTCTTTAAAGGCCTGAGAGTATGGGGCGAGGGGCACATCTCTATAATTCAGATCTAGCAATGTAATTTTTGTGGATGTTTTGAAAACAGAGAAGAACACGTTTCACACGTTTCTCAAGAAATAGGAAACCTACTAGATATATCTTTCTTCTCAAAGGTAAGCCAGGGAGGGGCTTTGGCCCATGTTTTTGGGTCCAAAACAACCTATTAACAGCGTCACAAGTGAAGTGTTAGTATCAAAATTTGAGCAAATTCTAGCACCAATCCGTAACGTTATTGGGACTCGACACTATTTTTTAAACATTACTCAAAAATACAAATTATCGCGGAATTTGTAGCAAGAATACGCAGTGCAAATCAAAACGAATTAAGATTGAATATACTCCCAAAGGAACAGACATGTGTTTAGGCATGAGTTTTTAATATTTTCATTTTAATTTAATTTAGTTCGTATCATGTCTATTTTCAGGTTCCTTCTCAATTATATGTTGAAAAAAGTACATTAATTGAGAATTTTGCTGCCCGATGAAACTGTACAAGCCTTGTAACAACTTTTTTTTCAAAAGTAAAGGGGATGAGACTTCAGAGTAGATTAAAACAAAGAAATATATTAAAAGAGATATAACCATAGAGAGAGAGCGATAGTGTTATCAATATGGAGCTTTTGGGGCGATAAAGATTGGCTTCTAAACTTCTCACGGTGTATAACTTATCTGTGCGGATTGGTTTGATTTGACACCCCGACAGTGCCGAATCCACGGTCTTGGTGGGCCATATTTATGTTTTTCCTTTTTCGTGGTTATTGCGATATCTGATTCTCTATCTAGTCTCCTTAACCCATTTTGTCCCAGTGGTGTGTTAACGCACCTCCTATTTAATGATTTTGTTTTCGTAAATCCACTAAATATTTTTGCATATGCACATTTAATGTTTTAATATCAGTATTGCAAAACTTAGTACCGTATAAACTGTGTACGTTTATTTAAAAAAAATATGACTCTTCAAAAATCAAGAAATACGCTGCATAATTTTGTGTAAAATCTCTAAAGTAGTAGGTAAAGTATTTTTTCTTTCTTATTATTGCAAATTGCAAGTCTCGACAAGAGCACGTCGCATCAGCAGCCGCCGCTACTGGTGGTGGCTACAATTTAGTATGCGTGTATATCTTGTGCGGTTTACGTAAAATTCGATTTTTATCAGAAAAATATGCCTTTTTTGAAGTTTCTATATCTAAAGCAAAAGCGGCCTTGGCGGAGGTCGTGGCGGAGTTGGTTCAAAATGATGAAAGTTGTAAGTAAATATTATACCCATTTACGCATTTTTATAGTTTGTAGATTCAATAATGTATTTCGTTTACCGCAAATTTATGTTAAGAGTAACATTATAATTTATTTACAGAACATATTTGTGCAGTTCATATTCCACCTGAAGTGGATACTACTTTGACCGACGAGGAGGATATGAACGATGAAAGCAAGAGTTTGAGGAACCAACTGATATAGTTGGAACTTGCATATACCGGAATCTACTTTGCCTGACTGATAAAACAACAATTCAAAGAAATCTTGCCCCTGATGGATGAACTACGTTATAATAATAAAGGTGACCTCATGATTGTTCATGCTAATTAAGATCGAAGAAGGTGTAGAATCTGCCACACTATTTACATTTGTAATAAGTAGTTTTAAATGACTCTATTGTTTTTCGAAGTATTCTCCACGAAGATTAATACACATCTGATACGCTCAAAACAATTTTTAAAGCACTTCCACTCGTTTGCTGGCAGATTTAAAACGGCATTTTTGAATGCGTCAACTGCTTCTCCTGGTGACTGGAACCTTTGACCACGCAATATGTTTTTAATTTTCAGGAAAGCAAAGAAATCCTTAGGACTTAGATCGGGACTATATGGAGGATGGTCCAATAATTCCACGTTTTCTTCCGTTAAATACTGCCTTGTTTTTAGGGCTGTGTGCGAGCTTGCATTGTCTTGGTGGAGGATGATTCTTCTTTCGGGGTTGATTTTTCGAAGCTCAGTGATGACTTCTGGCAAACAAATGGTGGTATACCAATCCGCAGTAACAGTTCTTTACTCATTAAGAGGAGTTGTTGCAATATGACCCGATTTTGACACAAATGTTGCGACCATCTTTTTCGAAATACTTCGAGAACGGATGACTTTTGTTGGCTTTTCTTCACCTTGGAATACCCAAACAGCCGACTGTCGTTTATTTTCTGGTTCATAACAGTAAATCCACGATTCATCACCACTAAGTCAACAGGTGAGGTATCCAACGCGGAACTAATTTTCTTACTCCTAATTCTTCATGTAAAATTTTTTGAATTGAGGACGCTTCAATCTCGCGATATGTCACATGTCTATCTTCAATGATGAGTTTGCGCACAGGGTGACTGCCGTTTTTGGTGCACCCACCCTGGGATCGTCGCTAAAACTCACCCGTCCACGTTTGAATTCTCCATACTAACAGGAAATTGTCGACTGATGTGACGCTTCGTTGCCGAAAACAGCCAGTAACTCAGCAAGGCATTCTTGTTGCGATAATTGTCTCTGAAAGTTGTAATAAATCCTGGCGCGAAAATGTTCTCGGTTGAGTTCCATTTTTCTAATGACTTAGTGACACTTAAAAATTCACTGTAGTGAGAACAGTGCACGTATTGTTGTGAAACTTTGAATTTAAGTTTACTAAAGGGTGGGGTTAAGATTCAGTACTGACGTTCGATCCGCGCGGCCTACTATGTTTCTATATGCAAAACTTAAAAGACACGTAGCTGTCAGAAACTGACTGAACATGCAAAATGGCTGATATTGTCAGCATTACTGAGGGTCATGAGTACCAAGATAACGCCACAAAAAGATCGAAAATAGAACATACGTAGCCCGCGAAAATTTAAAATTTGCGATAATTTTTGAACAAGCCTCGTAATTTACGTTTGGTATTTTTATGTAAGACTGTCACTATCTGTGTTTTATTTTCGTTAGAATTATTAGTTATGACTTATGTGACATAAAATAATACTTCATGTTTCTTCCGATTGGTTCGTCTATGCACCAGTATTCTTTGATATAATCTATTTTTGAATTACATTTTTTTACACATGGAATATATTCTTAGGTATACTAAAATAAATATTTATAAACAAAACTGTTGTTTTTTTTTTAATTTTTTCAGTGCTTGGGACAGAATTTGTTAATGCATCTTTAAAAGTGATACCCCGTCTGTCTCCTAGCCTATATAACTCCTCGATTTCTTCTCAATCGTTCCCGATTTCATAACAAACATAAAAAAAGATAACGCCCACGGATCGAAAACAACAACCCAATCTCATATTTTTCCATTGACACGCGATAGCGGGGTATAAAAACCTCTATCACGCACCCGGGTGCACATTACCAATCAGTACCCAAGATGAAGTTCGTGATCCTCCTGAGCCTTGTGGCGTTCTGCTACGCGGTGCCCTTCCCCATGAAGAGCATCGACTTCACCGAAGATGGCAAGATCGTCATTACGGAACCAACTGGAAAAAGGGTCACCATCTACAAGAGCTTGGGCCCTGCCGGCGGAAGGACCTTCCAGATCCAGGTTGAGGGTCCCAACTTCCCTACCAAGTCTGTGCAAATCGACGAGGACCCGCACAAGGTGAGCTTTGGGGCTTGGATGCTTAATTTGCTAAATATTTGGTGGACTAGTTATATCATTCTAACCCTCTTAAGTTTGGAGGGCAAAAGTTTCAGCACATAAAAAATAAGTCTTGCGATCATTTCTGAAAAATAAATAATACTGATAAAATGTACTGCAAGTGTGTTTTACAAGTTGTATGCAGTTAGGTTTTAGACATGTTGAGGATGGTAAAATTTAGGGCGACAGCTAGCTCCGCATTAGAGAATTCTTCAAAAACCAGTTCATTATTTATTTATTTAGTGGAACGCGATTAGAAGTAAGAACCCGAACACTCTGGAACTCGAGGGCAATTATTGTAATTATTTTATACGGTGTTTAAACCATTTTTCAATAGGATCAATCCGTGGAGTTCTCAGCTTTGAAAATAGTACCAGGCACAAAATATATGGAATTTGACCAGCGGTCAATTTTAAATAAAATTGATACAAGATGTTAATCTTGCTGTGCAAATCGTTTCCGACTATCTTCGTTAGTGTTCATTAACTGTCTTCCAATTTCGCGTGGGACACCTTGGATATTTTGTATGTGTTCACGTGATTTTTATTTACAATAAAGACGAATAAGTTTTCGTAAAATGGTGCAAGCAAGCCCACCTACAAGGGCTAAGGCACCAAACTTTAACACCCTCCAAAAGCATTTCTGATCTTGGTACATTATTTGATCAGAACATGAAATGTTACTATACGAATTTTCTTTAAAATTGAACGATGGTCAAATTCTATAGGTTTTGCGCCTGGTAATTTCAAGTTAATCCCATCTGTCAAATTGGTCCCTTAAATATTTCAGAGCATTACATCTTAAGCGTCGGTAAATATTTGTCTTTCTATTTTAGTACTTGATTGTACTTTAAAAGCCCGATGTTCACAATTTTGGTATTTTTGTCCAAAAGTCAACTATTTTCGAATCCTTAACTATTGAATTTTTGAATAAATGGTCGCGACACTTTCTATTTCAAACCTATTATATTAAAACACATTAGGCACAACACATGTGCGGTCACATTACAAGCATGTCTCATTATAGTTGTGTCAACTTTTGTTTTTTTTTATAGTGAGAACAGAGGAGCAACACTTCCATTTTTATACATGTTCTGTGTCATTGTGTGTTTGATTACAGATTTAAAGTAAAAAGTGACACGATTGTGAGCTCACATAAAAATAGGTACCAAGTTAAATATTCGAAAATGGGTGAATTTTGAAGAAAAATGCCAAAATTGCCAACTCTGGACTTGAAATTATTAAATACTGAAATAAAAAAAAATGTTGACGAACGCTTGAAACAAACAAATCCTCCCGCCCCAAAAGGCCTACTTATAGACATTGATCCTTTTCTTTCCAATGTATACAGTTATTTTCGTTTATAATCTATCTGAATAATTAATGAGATCCTTACGAAGAAGCGTTGTTCCAAAAAAAAAGTTTAATACCTTGAAAATGAAATATTTTCATATCGATGTTTATATAAAGCTTCCGTTTCGACAAATCACTTTGTTAACATCTTCGTGCATAAGTACAAGTTCCAGTGGATTTCGCTCATTTTGACCGATTATACTAGCTTTTAAACTTCTGGCTTACAAACCTGAATAACCATGTACATAAAAAACAAAATCAAAAAGAAAATAATCAAAAAATAGGAATCTGAATGTCACCAAATTAATAGTAGATTCTTTAGTATGAAGATTAAAAAGAATTGCAATATTCTTGGGTCAGCAAGTACGTTGACAAATAATAACATTAAGTCCTTATACAGGGTGGCTCATCGAAAACGAAACAGACGCATTTACTGACAGCTCAGTTTTTTTTTAAAACGCTTAGACCCGTCAATTTTGTTTTCGAGGGGAACACAAGTTTGGCAAAAAATCACGTTAGCACGTGCAGCCCCCTAAGCGGGGGTGACACCACCCCCAAAATCTTAAATGGAAAGGGAGGTCGCGTGATACCTTATTTTAAAGGTCTTTCAATCCCCTTTATAATGATATAAAATTAATGTACTTCAGTTCAGTAGTTTTGAAGATTTCTTAAATTAAAGCTTAAATAAAACTAATACATCATCATTAGTGGAGATCAATACATTTGGCAGCAAAGTAATTTAAAAATGAAGAATGAACTGACCCGTTAGGCAAGTAAATGTTGAAAATGGCCACCATGACTCTCCATGCAATAATAATGATTTTGGTCAAAGCGTTGCCGCACATTTTGCAATATTTGAGGAGTAATTTGAAGGCACTCATTCACAATTCTTTGTCGCAGGTCTTCTAATGATGTTGGCTGAGTAGCATAGATTTTGCTTTTTACATGACCCCACATAAAGAAATCCAAAGGTGATAAATCTGGCGATCTTGGGGGCCATTCAATGGCACCTCTTCTACCAATCCATCGATCTGGAAACGTCTGATCTAAAGATTGTCGAACACGTAATGCGTAATGTGGTGGGGCACCATCCTGTTGGAACATCAACCTATTCGCAATGTACCGCCGATCATTCTGATTTTCAATTATGACTGTTCATGCATGATCTATGGCGTCTCCCAGTAATTCCAAATGCATTTCACTGGTCAAATTTCCAGGTAAGAAAAAAAGACCAACTAAATGATCGCCAAAAATACCAGCCCAAACATTTAAATTTTGTGGCTGCTGTGTATGGACCTCATGATAAATTCTAGGATTAGAATCGGACCAATATCGGCAGTTATGACGATTTACTACGCCATTTAAGAAAAAGGAACATTCGTCGGAAAAGCAAGTGTTGATTAGAAAATGTTCATCGTTTATAATTCGTTCACTCATATCTTCACAAAATTGTAATCGCCGATCAAAATCGTCTTCATTAAGTTCTTGTACCAGGTGAATTTTATACGGATGAAAACTATGTGCCTTTAGAATCCGTTGGACAGTACGTCGACTAACACCACACACAGTCTCCAATTTGCGGGTACTTAACGTAGGATCTACATAAACTTGCCCTTTCAGAAAAATATTTCAATAATCTCAACTCTTTCTGCTGTGGAATATACCATGGTTAATTTATGTAATAAAGCATTAAAAGTTATTTTAGCAACAAAGTTTGGTCAAATCAATCGCAAACTATGCACTAAATTCCTATTTTTTCTTATCTTTCTTCAAGAAATAACTTTTTTGCCACAAAAAAACGCTCCAATAGCTATTTTCAACAACAAAATGATAAACAAACCATGGGCTTGGTGAAGAAAAGCATTTACTTATTAAGTAAATTCTTTTAGTCAAATTTATTCTGAAAGTAGTACAAACTAATCTGATGTACCTATTAAAGTCTACTTATACTTTAAATCAATAAATCTTCAAAACCACTGAACTTATGCTCCTGTATTTTACCTCATTATAAAGGGAATTGAAAGACCTTTAAAATAAGGTATCACTCGATCCCCCTCTCCATTTAAGATTTCAGGGTTGGTGTCACCCCCGCCCAGGGGGCTGCACGTGTTAACGTGATTTCTTGCCAAACTTGTGTCCCCCTCGAAAACAAAATCGACGGGTCTGAGCGTTTTTAAAAAAAAAAAACTGAGCTGCCAGTAAATGCGTCTGTTTCGTTTTCGATGCGCCACCCTGTATATATGAGTTCTTCAAATGCCCAATTACCAAGATACATGGTATTCAAGTTACAATTCCAAAATCAAATAAAGTTGCACTAGTGGTGTAGAAACTAGGTTACAATGTCCTCCGTAGGAGAAACAAAATAAATATCTTCTACTCCACTGCTTTTTCTTTCTTATCTCAAGAAATTTTAGGTTGAACCTTTGAGGTAAATCATGTATTTATAGCAATGTTATCTTTTGAAGTACTTCTGCCCTAGGAACAATGTCATTGTTTTTGAATTCGTACACTATTCTAAAATAGTTTCGGTTTGTTTTCTTAAAAGTGAATTTGGCTTCCCTGGGTTCAAAAACGGTGTTGTTTAGATGAAAGCTGAAGGTACTTTTTCGACAACAATGTGATGAAATCAGAACGATGTACTACATAAACTCAGTCGGTAATGGAATATATTTGTTTCCAAAGACAATGGGAGTGCATAAGGACATCTCACTAGGAAGAAAAGGTCTAGATATCATCATCGACAATCCCTACTTTCCTAAAGCCATTCACGTTGACAAGAACCACCTTCACGATCATACTCACTATGATCACGTCCATCATGGTCATGAGTATGATCATCACCATGATCATCACTTTGATCACAACAAGGTTTGAACAGTATGTTTTGAATGACAGAGCACGATATACTTGGAGGCTTTTGCTCATTTTTTATTGCTTGGACAAGGGTGACATTAAAAGCTTACATGTACGGCTACCAACTTTAATTGTTCTGAGCTGATATGTTATGATATGCCGACGCAGCAGTTTTGTCAAAAAAAATCACGTTAGTCTGATTTTTCGGTAATCACACGATACAGGATGGTGACCCACGTATAATCTACAGGGTGTCTCAATATTCCGTGGACATAGAGGCACCACGTAATTTTAGACTCAAAATAAGTCGATTAGACATGATTTACATGATTTACCTCTATGCAAAAGTGCTTCGTCTGTCCGTTAGGCATACACATTTGTTCAGGTATTTTTCGAACTAATCGTCCGATTTGAATGAAATTTGGAATACACATGTTTTGCTAGATGTCTTTATATTTGACTTTTACAAAAAAAAACGTGAGAGTTCGAGAAGGGCGAAAACTACCCACAAACCTGCTTAACTTATAGCAAATTTTTTCGATACTGTTCCGACGACTCCGAAAATAATATAAAAACTTTAATTAATTCAAAATTTATGAAGAACAAAGAACAAATTGACAACAAAAATAAACTCAAACGTCGCTTATTAATTTAAGCTTTATGAAAAATAATCTGACACTGATATAACACCTCACATATCCGCCACCTAGATGCCTACTAGATTTTAACACTTGATGTAATAATAGTTATTCATTA